ACGAGCTGGAGTGACAGACTGGCCTGTACAGGTACAGCAGAAAGGGTAAGGAAAAGTGGGAGCAGAAAAGTTGTAAACAAACAGGAGCAGAAAGAAAGAGAGTAAGAGAAAGCCTGCATGATCCAAACGTGAGAGTGGATGACTGAAATGGACAGTAATGGGGTCATGGCCGCACATTCAAGCTCTGGGATCAAAATCATTTAATGCATCCAAGCTGATGGAAACATAAGGCCGTCTTGGAGAGCTTCTATCGTATCCGCTTTCAAATCCTTTCCACCAAACACGGCAGCTTCATTTAGATTTATTAACTGTGGCAACAGGTTTGATCAGGCGCGTTACTTTGTCTCTCTGTTAGTTTTCTATTCTTGCTGTGTAATACAGCACAGCGGCCCACTGCGTTAGTGTGCACCCCTGTAGCTCATGCTGTGTAATTTGCCTGAGTGTGACTGTGTCCTTATTGTGTCTGACAACCTTTTCCTGTTGTGTCTGCTGGTCTCTATCTGAAACCAAATTGGTAGTAACAGAGGGGCTTCTTATAATTGTGTGGGTGCAGCAGCACTCAAATAAGCTGGTTAAATACGCCCAAGGATACCTCAGCCTTCAGCTAGAGAGGCTTTGGACTTATATGTCTCCTAGCAACAAGTGTACCGATTAAGGTCTGCTGCCAGCCCCAGTGGAATGGCTAAAACAGCCAGTCACAGATGTACTCATCTTGCAGTGTACAAATGTATTCTTAAGTTCAGATGGTCTGCAGTCGGATTACATTGTCAACCACCTCTTTAGTTTATATTTTGAAATCATTCTGTAAATTGATTGTGAAATGAACACTTCATACACAGTGAATACGATTTTATCAAATACATATAATTCTAGAAAAGCCTCAGCATGTTTCTTTCCACCTGGCAACTAGACATGCAGACAGAAAAGGGTCCGTTACAGCCATTGCTACCAAAGGCTAAATGAGAACCCTCCCTCTCATATGCTCACTGAGCAATAACTAGCATAAAAAACTCCCAATACACTCCAGTATTGCACTTTAATGACTTACTGAGCATGAGACATTACAGTGACAATGAGGTCAAAGTCATGTTTGTGATTTAAACACTACACAATACAAAAGCAGGTACAAGCTTGCAACATCAGTTATATTATAAACTAAACCCATATAAATTGGAAATGGGTCATTAAAAAGGATCTACTCTGTTGGGTTCATTGGTCTTCCATCTTTTGTGCATGTGCTTCTGAACTGCTACTACATCCTGCGTGTGGGGCCTGGCCAAATGTGATGGGATGTACTTGCAGGGTGAATTTCATAGTTTAAAACACACCACTGAAACAGAGACATCCTTGTGTAAAGACTTACTTTAGATGTTTGATGCTAAAAAAAAACAGTCATTCTATTATGGACAACTTTATGAACCTTTGAATAAACTTTTAAGTTAAATCACATTTCCAAACATAGAACCGACTCAGAAATACACATTACAGTAACTTGAACGTTTTCAGTTCTAAACTCACTGACACTTGCTGGTGCTCCCACCCAAACGTACCTTCGAGGTATCAAAGCACTTTCTTAAAAGCATTAAGCTGAGGAAGGAAACCTAGAGAGGTGACATCTTGCTTCTTTTAAACCACAGCTGACATACAGGAGAATAATATTTTTTTTCATTCTGTTTTCTCCACCACACAAAGTGGCTGTCCAGCCTTATTACCCACATACAGAGAGCACACTGCCACTTTCAAAGTATCCAGTGTAGCCTTACTTATTTCTGTTTGCTTGCAGTCCATTGTCTGTAGGTCGTCTAAATTTTATCAATCAGAATGCAATTTTACTTCAGAGGAATATTTTTTGTTCAGTGTCCAAAACTGAAGAGCAGAAAGAGCTCTGCTTTTTGCACATATGCACACACTAAAACAGAGGCAGCGTGGTAAGCTGTTATTCAAATTCTGAAAATAAAAGAGGCAAATGTTTTTAGATCTTTAAATCCCACAAATTACACTCACCCCAAAGCTCAGACATTTTCTTGTTTTTCTGTTGACTAAGCAGTTCTGTGGTGCACTGATTTGGGCATAACCGTGGTCAAAAAGAGGGAAAAAAAGGAAGTCATCACCATGTCCAGATGGCTGCTTTGCCGTCATTTGATGACCTCACAGCCAAAATTCAAGGAGAGTAAGAGGTCTCACAGAGCATACATGCTTTCTCTAAAAAGAGCTACAGAGTTTCATACTATTTTTAAAAAATGCTGTCATTTTATTTACTCATGAGAGAAAATACTAGAAGAAAATGTTCACAAACACAACAAGCTTGAAAGTGTTTTTTGAAAGGTAAAGAAAGATCTTTCTCCCTCTGGTAGCAATAAGAAATCTTTGCAACAAGCACTAATTAAAACACAGTTAAAAACGCCAAAACTACCAGCTCAATTTCTGAGGCAGAAGAAACACTCAACTCAAGCTTGTGAACAATTTCCAGTGGGCTAAACCCTCATGACAGCAGCAATTGAGATTTCCTTGAATAGCAATTACTTTTTCCCCACTGTTGCTGTTTTTCATTTTTGTTTTGTTTTTTCATACACATGTCCAGCCCCACATCCAGCGTCTGGCTGCATGGTCGATAATACAGAGAACAGCGTGTTTTTTCAGTGTAATTTGTTTCTGTAAAAACAATACATCGGGGTAAAGAAATTACCTTTCAAATGAGGTGCTGAACTTCCTCGAAAAGTGCAGCAAAAAGAGTGGAAGGGGACCAAAACAGAGAATGGATGTTTAGCAAACACAAAACTGTTAGACCTGCTGGATGAGTGCTGATGGCACCTGTCTGCAGACAGTACAAGGCAGGTTTTAATACACTGCCTATTGTCCTTCTTTTCCTGTCTGCATCAGAAGCTGGTTTGGCCCATCCTAATATGGTTACCATAATCGCTACGAGAGGGGAGTTGTAATTTCTGAATAAGATGCTTATGGTTGGACATTAAAAATGTTGAGCTACTAAAAACAGCGACAGTGTCTCAGCTGAAGAAAGTGCAATGATACCTTGTCTCTCCACAGGAATGTGTAAGTGAATAATGGGTGGTTAAACTATCTGATGTCAATGTGGTGAATAAAAAAGGCCGGGCTCTGACTTGCCACTCCGCCAACTTGTTCACATGCAGCCGCTTATTCACCCACACATTTTCGCTTAGTGCTCAGAGCTCGGCAAACCACGGCTGGTGAGAAACAAATGTTGCATTTGTCCTTCGTTCGCACTGTCTAACTACTTTTTTTATTTTAAATTTGTTGAGAAAGTGTTCCCAGATTGTGCTGGTGGAGGCATATCGCTGAATGGGATCGGTGTGGTGGCCAAGAAGGAGTGAGGTCGGATCATTCTGCCTATCATTCAGGCTAATTTTCAAGCAATCGAGTTTCAGCAAAGCCATCCATCATCTGTACTGATCTGAATACAAAACTGACAAAATAAGTGCGACTTCTCCTGCTAGATCTAGTTTGCTTTCGCCAGCTTGATGGAAACAGATATGAAGTGGCTGCTGGAGTTGCTTTTAGAATCTAAACTTAGTCAAAGTTTGTTCCAAAACAATCCAAGAGCAAAAATAACATCGTACCACTTACAACTGACCAAAGATTTGTTTCATTAGTTGCTAGCGACAACAACAAAAGTGTGTAAACCCAACAACTCCCTCGGAGGGGATGAAATGAGGGCAAGCGTGGCCAACGCTTGGTTGAAAAAAATTGACAGCTAAATTATGCATTGTCACATATGGTGGGATTGAATCTTGGTCTAACTGAGGTACAAATGGTTAATGATTGGCCCGAAGGGAGCCTGCATGACTGAATGTATGAGGACATAGGCTGTTTCTAGAGCAACAAATTGCAGAAGTCTGGATGTCCTTGTTGTTTTAGGAAATTTTCTGTCCACAGCTGTTCAAGTGCTGCATTTTATCTTAATTGCTTGGTCTTGCATAATGTGCATAATCAGCTGCGCACCTACGGACTTATCGTCTTCCCATCTGTGGTTCCAAGCAACTGCCACACATCCCGTCTTCTCAATTAAAAAAAATCACAATGTGAAAAAAAAGCAGCAATAGAGATCTGCATCACAACTAAAAGAAGTCTGAGGCAAAGTGTGACATCAGCTCAGGTAATCAGATAGAGGTGTGTAAAAAAATCCTATTGACTGACTCTGGACAGCTTACCAACCTGTCAGTCTGAGCTCAGCCATCCTGGGTTCTGTAACAATGGTTCCAACTGAGAATGCTACCTTTTCAGAGTCACATGCACGAAGAAAGCGTGTCACTGAAGTCTTAAAATATTAAAGAGACTGAAATCTGCCATTACTTGTTCTCTTTCTCCCTCTGGCTCTTTCAACTACCATGTCATGCATGCTATCAAATGACAGAGCATCTGACTGGGCTATAGTAACAACCCTGTTGCCTGTCTGTCTTCTTAGCCAGTCCAATCAATAGCCTGACTGATAGATATTGCTATGGGAGAGGATCCGTGTGGCCAGGTTTCTGACTGGCAAAGCTGCACATTGACCAACTTGAAGCTGATGCTGTAAATGCATATGAAAACATTTTTTTTTAAAAAGATCTGACAGGACATATCTTCAGATAACTGCATCTGGGTAATAAAAAAAGGTGGGTGACTGCTTTCATAAGCTAAGATGAACAACAGTATTCTATAACTGCCCCATGCAGAGGGAAATCCCTGCAACACAGTCAATGAATGAATCTATTCATAGGTAAAGGCCAAGAAGAGTTTTTTTTGTGAGGTCACAGCTAGAACATCACATGACAATATGACAAATCGTATGAAATGGAGCTTCTCAAAGCTTTGTTAATGCATCTACATTATGTGCACTGTTCCTGTGGTAATGATTAAAGCCAACCATGTCCATCCTGAAACCATGCCTATAGTCCTGTGCTATATTTCTCCATGTTCTGGTGTAATAATGCAGGACAAAACAAACAAAGTTATTGCTGACCAGCAGCCTGCGGTTATGTTACCTTAACAATTGGATGGCCGCCGGATGACGCTTTGACTGCTCCTCGGCTGCCTTCAGTCTCATAGTGAGCACGGTGGTGGGCTTTGGGTTGCACTTCTATCTTCAGCTCATACTGGCCAAATTGGCTTGGTAGTGGCCAATCTAGAGGAGGCAATGATGACGTCCTGGGGAGGGAATACCATAAATATGAGCTTACGCATTCACAAGCCTATTGAGAGGCTGAGAGTATTAGAATTCTGGAGATAAACTCAAATTGGACAACTTCATAACATTCAAGGCTCAAGACAGAACAGTTAGTATTAAATACACCAATAAAAACATTTTAACAGTAAATCTGATTCTCTTAACATGTTCATGGCATTGGGTCAAGCAAAGCAACTCTTCTTTAACTCATCGTGCAAGTCTGCCCCCCCCCCCTAAAGGCTAACAATAAAAAAAATTGAATTTGGTATTCCCCTTTTGAGTGCAGATACAGTGCAATAGGTGCAAAGTGAGGGTACTAAATGCAGTGTTCTCAGTCCCATCCAACAGTGAATCACTGGAATACCCACATGCTTTAGACCTGTTCTTTAACAAAACTTGTAATAGGTCATGTTTACATTCAATGGGTGAATCATCTGCTAAAGGGGACTTTTCACTCTGAGTCCTCACCCTTTTACCATGTGGGTCAGAAATGGTGGCAAGATGAGAATGTGACTGAGACAGTGCATGAGTTAAGTGCAATGTGTAGATTTGGTTTTATATTATGCAAGAGCATATTTAGTCTAAAGTGCATCGCATGGGACAGTAACGTGTGCTTTTCCCTTTTTTGTGTTATCTGTGTAGGCCACAATCAAATTTGAACAGCTGCACTCAAAACTAGAACACTCAATGCCTGTCCACATGGATAAACTAGGACCTCTGTCTGAGTGCATCGGATCAGTTTATACTCAAACCATTTTGCATACCGGCATGAATCATTTGTTTCAAAACAGCCTTTACTTTTCAGTTTGCTTATGTATCGTTTGCTGTTGTTGTTTGGGATTTATATAAAGACCCCGATTTAATTGTAAAACATAAATTAATAAATTCAACATTATTCATCATGATTTTCTTGACATCATTTGCACTGTTATACTATTTTTAGAATGGTTGCTCATAAAAAATATTTAGATGGATTTTTCCTTTAAAGGCTCATTTCACTAAATTAAGATTTTCATTTGCAAAAAATAACAATATGGTAATTATTGTCACCTGTATAGAAGCATTTTTCTTTGAATTACATATTGTCATGAAGCCAGTTATTGCTTCTTAAGTATGGATTTTATTTGCTCTTATTAGAGTTATCTTTCACTGTTTTACTAAATAGCTATTTCCTAACTGTTAGAAACAAAGAATCTACCTTTATTTTTAAAGATCCAAAGAGTCAGAATGCCAGTCTCAATGGTAGAATAAGTAAAAATAAAAAGTTTTGTTGACAGCTGATGATTGTCAAAAACAAGATCCAATGTTCAAACACAGCATTAAAAGCATCCTAATGTTGGTGTTTCCCTCTGCAGTCATGATATAACCACTAAGGAAGTATGGGTTTGCATGGGTGCCACGGTAACAAGAGCAGAGGACAGAAGAAATTTGAGCTTGCGGCGGAGAAGGGCAGGAGGGGTGGAGTATGTCCTTGCATAGCATAACCTTTCTCAAATATCTAAGTAATAGTGTAGGTGTAGCCTGTCCAGTCACATCCCCACAGACTTTGCCTCTTTTATGGTTTTTACATTCAAATAAGCATGGCAACCATTCTTAAATAATTCTGTAATGGTGCACCTACACAAACAGAGCGAGGTGAGGCTAACCAATAGACATAAATAGTTGATCATCAGCAAATTTTACCAACTCTTTAAAAGGTAAGGCCCAATTGGGTATGTGTTAACACAATTCAAAGGAAGACATATATCACCAATTCTCTTGTTTTACATCATTCTGAGAAGGGTTACAATGGCTGTAGGAGTCCATCATCCTACTGTGAGAAAAATTACTTACAGGAGGAAAACATTAGAGACAGCTGCTAATCTCTCCAGGAGTGGATGTCTCTGAAAGTTCACCCCAAGGCCAGACCTCGCAATGCTTGGAATATTGATAAAGCCCTAAGTAACATCTTAAACTCTACAGGATCCAGTTACTGTGGTATTACGGTTGATAACAGCACAGTCAGGAAAATACTTAACAAGTATGGATTCTGTGGTGCATCTGCACTGCTTAGTTCTGTACAGCTACATCTAAATAAATTACAATTATGTATTATGGCATTGTACATTAGCATACACACCTAATACCAACTCTCAAGCAGAGGAGGAGAGGTGATGATTTAAGCATGCTTTAGAGCCACGGGATCATAACACCTTGCTTGACTGTTAACTAGCTTGAATCATAGGGTGTATTTTGTCTTTTTTATCACATGATGCAATACTTGATGTTTATCTCAGAATTGGAATCAAATACCTAACTAAAGATATACTTACTTTAGATAAAGCAGGTGTATTAGATATGTTTATATCAAAATAGATCAATGTTGTTGTTTTTATTAAATCATGTCTTGTCGCTAAAATCACAAATGTTTCTCAAATGTCATTTATACACATTTATCAACAATAATCTTTCTAGTTCACTTTAGGAATGCCATTAAAATGTTATTTAGTACATCAATAACACCAAGATAAAGGTAAGCTCATGTTTATAGAATAAAATTGGGGTGCTCTAGGCACGTTTCATCTCATCCACTGTAGCTATTCCAGCCGGTCCACATGTTCAAAACGCTACAGTTTTATGCCACATGAGCATCTAGAGCCAAGACCATTGAAACAATTATTTCAGAACATAAAAAGTGGTCTGTGAACTAGAATATGATATGTTATAGTAATACAGACCGCGTATTCCGTTACAATCTTAGCCGTGTGGGAAAATGCACTTAAGGGTTAAGAAACGCAGATCCAATTGTTACTCATCAGGGAGCTGACCCTGTTTTTGTCTGTTCAGTGTTAGGTCTACGTGAGCAAGCATTTGTGTTATGTCTATGCATGTGTCTGTGTGTGTGGTAGCCTCTTTGCCATATGTGCCCTGTGCTGATTTACAGCGCTAGGGGCCAGTGCACACAAACAAGGCTACGTCTTCATCTGCCGCACACATTTGTGAGCAGACAGCGGGCCCCAGCTCCTCCTCCTGTGTGTGTAACTCAAATTCAAAAGACAAAGTTCCCTCATAACCGAGTCCCATCCCAAGGCCTGTTATTAATCTAGCCTAGTACATGATAAAATTCTTTCTATAACTCTATATTTGCCATACCTCTAACACGAGGTACACAGTGATACATGTTGCCCATTCTTTCTAAAATAATCCCACTAATAGTAATGATAATCTCTACTGATGTCTTAATTTTTCTGGTCTGGTACCAGTCTGTTTATCTGCCATAATTGCCCACAATTCCAAACGTGTCTAACACACAAACTTATTTTAAATTAAATTTACAGAGCTGTAACTCTAGGGCAGAGGGAGTTTTCCCTGCTGCACTGTTCTGGGTGTTGCAAGAAGATGTGATGACAAGAAAAGGTCAACAGTAGTAATACAATTGTGAATGAGAGCCTCAACACCGGTTTTTGTAGATCAAACAAGGCTAAGTCTTCCAAAGAGAGCCCTCTCTGGGATGTTGTGACTTCCATAATTGCAGCCACATAACAACCCTTTATATTATATGCATCATAGCTCTGGATCACAGGGGAAAATGCAGATAGAAAAAGTAGCTCTGGTCCTTAAGGAAATCTCCAGGAGATAAGCATGTTAGACAATGTATGGACACAGCAAATTTACCAGAGCACTTTGTGCCAGTGAATGGGTAAATGTGCATGCTAGAAAAGGTACTGCTTTATTCTCCTTCCTGCTGATCCCTGTTCTGACTGCTGCTCACTTTCATGGATTTGTTCAAATGCATGCTGTACTGACCCATAAGGAGTGCCAATTTTCAAAGGAATTATTGAGAGATATAGTGGCAAGTGTAAACTTTTCAAACATGTTGCCTGAATCAAATTCAAAATGATACTTGTTTTTTTATTAAGAAAAGAAATTAAGCTTTTTTTATAGTCTTAGGACAGGCTCCATAATGTGTGTGAATGTTTATGCTCTTCTGTTTACATCTGCACCTTTCCATTTTTTTAAGTAACGTGGATAATCCTAAACTTCAATTTCTTGTACAGGATATGGTTTGTCTCCGAAATTGAAAAAAACTCTAAAATGAAAAACAATTACCTGAATATAGGTGTGTGACCATGTTTCGGTTTATTCCATGAGAAGTGGGAGGGCACTGAGAGAAAATGTTCCATAGGAGCATCCTTCTTCAGGCTGTGCAGTGTCTCATCTGAAGGGGAGTCCAGATTAGGAGACATATTTCCTTGGTCATCAAGCCCCAGCTCCCCTTTTCCGCTCTGCATGGCTGTTCTGTCCTGTGAGGTCTTCCTTGTCTTTGATGGGATGTCTGTCTCAGAGGGGCAGCACTGAAAGGGTGACATTCCAACAGAGGGGCTCCCAGCCCAAGTGTCCTCTGTCACGCTACCCCTGGGAGAAGGTCCTGGTGTGGGTGTGGGAGAATGATGAGGAGACAGTGAGCCAGGATAACAAATTTCGGCACTGGAGTGGCGCCTTTTCCCACAGGGTGAGGTGGGGCGAGAGGACGGTCTGGAAGGGGGCCGCGGGCTGAGCCAATTTTCATCAGTGACACTGGTGCGTGGTGAATGGCAAGGAGACTGTCGGGGAGACAGGCTGATGGAGTGAGAGTGGTGCACAAAAGGAGGGTGGTGCTGCTGCCAGAGGCTCTGATCCTCCAGAACCCCACCGCCAGTCTGGGGGGAGGCACAACCAGGAGACGTCAGCGGTGAGCCCAGAGTAAACCTAGCAGCTGCTTCATTCAGCTCCGTTTCAACATCATCGTAGACATGTGAAAATGATTCACAAGAAGAGGCATCAGAAAACCAGCTCCTTGAGGAAAGGCTGCTGCACGGGCTCGGGCTGAGGGAAGAGTCTCGGTATGAGTGGTCCAGTGGCAAATACAAGTGATCTCTGGACAAGGGCCTGTCCCCATGGTAATCCCCATCAGGACCATTTGCCCTAAGCTCCCCGTCATTGGCATCCATCTCCTGCTGGCAACTAGGAGAGATGGAGGTGATCTGGATACTGGGGCATTCGAAAGCCTTTGGGGCCTCCAAGGGAGCGGAGGGCAGCAGGGGAGAGGTGCCATATTTGGAGTGTTCTGCCTCATAGCTTAGAGGATCAGATCCTGGTTTGTGCGATTGCTGACGGGATGTTGTGTTGATGACGTGGGAGTGGGAGTGGGAGTGGGAGTGGGAGTGCATGCCATGTCGGGGAAGGCCGATGGACTGGTGATTAGAGACCATAGACTGGGGCTGTCCCACATTCAGGATATAGAATGATGTGTTGTCATCAGGCTCGAGATCTGGTTAAGAAAAGGGGAGAAGAGATTACAATATGGAAATTTGGGGAGTTTATCTTTCTGTTTTCTCTTTAACATTAGTTAGTTTGACTTTACCGAACATATGGAGGAGAAACTAAATCAAACAGTGACGATCACACAGGCATAAAAAGAAACAGATATATACATCATACTTAGCTGCCTAAGTCTGGCTAATAATTTAAATGTTGAATACATCATCTCCAATTAAGACCAGAGGCCAATAAGCTAAATATGTCAACACGCTGATACAAAACAGAACATTTAGAAGATTATTAAACAGCTAATTTGCCTGCAAGAACAAAAGTAACATTCTGTATCTTTGTCTTAAACAGACTATGCACCCTTCTCCCTCTTGGGCTGTTATACACTGTTATATTTAAAAGGGATAAGAGGAGAGGATCTAATTGGTCCACCTGCTGATAATACATTCCTCCTACTTGGAATGTATTCATCTTGCTCCAGTCATGCTGTCACACAACACCGAACTAAATCAGCACACCTCTTTTTGGCCACTGAACCTCTGGCCAAAATCCCCGAAAGTTATTTGTCTGGTTGTGCCCAGAGTTTGAGCTTGAACCTGGTTTTCAGGGTATTAGAGGCCAGTGTGTTGCTGGGTAGCAGGCAGTCAAACAGGCATTGTTCCAAGAGGGATAACCGATGAACAGCACTACTCAGGAAACAAATTCACACAACAGTGCGTGCCGTCGGCTGTCATCACAGCTAGAGCCGGCAGGCTATTTATACCAAAGGTCATTCGGCACAGGCAGCATATATACACATAAACACACCCACACACAAACAAATAGACAAGAGCTCATTGTGGGCATTGTGGCACTATTCGGTTTGAGTTTATAGACTTCTACTGGTTAAGCTTTGCTGCTTCCCACTAAGAATGTTCCCAAAGTACTCTCAGTGGAGTATTTATCAATGATAATTGAGATAATGTCACATTAGAAATGTAGGAAGTGACTATTTTCAGATATCTGAGAACATCCCAGAAAGCACTCTACACTGCACGTGAATTGTCACGAGACGAGTAGGACAATAGTTGAACCAAATGCAAATCTAAAGAATGAAATAAGTGAACAAGATTCATCTTTCTTAACCAAAATCCCCAGTATATCTTTTACAGGATATAGTTGTGAAATCATTCCGCAATACTTTCACAAATTCCTTAAAAGGTAAGCACCACATTAATTATACAAGCTTTAAAATCGGACAGTTAACTTGACATGATTTATGTAAGTCTTTAAGAGGGAAAGGATGTTGGAAGACAACTGTCTGAAAGACAGTAGCAGCAGTCTTTTTTATTATTTATTTTTAGCTGCTCAGTTTCTCACTGGTCTGTTTGTCACAAGACCCAGCAATGGATCGTCAGACAGCAGCACCTGACTCACTGACAGCGCGCAAGAAAGTGACGACAGAACAAAGAAAAAAAGGGAAGCTGCAAAAGAAAAATGAGCATAATTTTCTGTCTGAACAGAGAAGTAACATAGTGAAAACATCAAAAGGAGACACAGAATTAGAAAGTGATCTAAGGACATATGTAAAAGTACAGTGGGAATATTTGTTCGATAAGAAAGACATTGCAATAATCTGCCAGTTAACCAGACTATGCTTGTCTGATAACAATTTGTTCAGAAAAATCATTTTAGTTTTTGAAGATTCAGATTTTCTAAATTAATTCTTAGAAACAATTAGTTCATTTGGTAAAGCTGATATCCCTCATAAATCTTCTGGCTTCCATTCTACATTGAGCCTTAAAACTGTTGAGGCCAAAGCACGCAAGTCAGTCATTACCGAAGTTTGCACTCAGTCACGGTTAATGTGAATCAACAGGAAATCCACATTTGACACTAAGAAAGAATTATGCAAACATCTTTTATGGTGATGTCACCGAGTACAGCAAAATCTGGACCAAAAACAAGATGTTTCAGGCAGTTAAGGAGAAGGGTCTTCTTTGGAATAGAGTTGTTCCCTTTGGAACATGATCATAAAATCATAGAAGTGCAAGGCAACATAAAGTCATACAAATATCCCCGTGATTTTATTTGTAACACTGATCAGCTGTAGGCTAAATTAGTGGATGTGTTACTCAACTAGCTGAGAAAGGCATGAAAAACACAGAACCTGGAAGAACCAATATGAATAAAGTGTGGTACATAGTACTACAAGTATAATGTTTTTGGAAAGTCTGTTGTGGTTTTTTATGAACATGGGAGCAGTAACAGTTGTCTGCATCGTCCATTTATTAAGCTCTTTAGCAAGCGGATGAAAAATCTTATTTGCACGCACAAAAGGATGGAAAAGAAATTGAATATGGGGCAGTAAATACATGAGGTAGATAGAGCGGAGAGGAGATAAGAGCGACCATGCTTTCTGACCCACAGTCCTCTCCTTGCTTTGGATGTAAGATTAGCTTGCTACCTAAAACCCCACGGTGTAAGGAAAGTGATGGGTGGTGGGAAACCCCCTTATCAGAGCCAAACTTAAGTCACCTTAGGAAAGGAGGTCAGAGAGGAGAAGTGCATGTAGTAGCACTGTTGTTTTATCAATGGCCTTGTTGGCGAAACCCCTGCACTGTTCCTGTGCGTCACAGACTCCTCAACTGTCTATACGTTAGACAGGCAATCTGGTTAAATAAAGATCTCTAAGAGGCTTTGCTGTACCTAAGCTAATAATAGCTCCACCTCACTGTGAGACGTTTCAACGAAGCAAGGATTGGAGGATGTTTGTGACACACCACCAAGACCATTGTGTTCTCACATTAACCACAGGGAATGACCTGATCCACCGGTGAAGGTGGTATTCACTTCTGCTTGGTGTCACACTGCCAGGGGATTCTTACTTGGGGGAATAATCTGTGAGGCTTTGTTCCTTCCTCTGTCTCCTTGTACTGCACACAAAGTGTGTCGGGCTCCTGTGACCAGCAATGACACACAGGCCCACATTCTGAGACAGACTGATGTACTATACAAGGAAAGAAGGATTTGTGTCCTTGCTTCTGCAGGTTGTCCCTGATGAGGCAAATCTTATCTTATATTATTATACGTGTCTACAATTGAATGTCTGAGGGGTAAAAAACAGCTCTGTAGGCGTCTATGCATCTGTGGTCAGGCCTGTGTGTTTGTATGATCAGAATCCATGGGTATATGCATGTTAAGCGTTCAGGTGAATGCTTGTGTGTGCCAACATGTATGTGCACATGCCTTCAACATATATGATAGTCTTAGGTTACCAACCAGCCCTAACACTGTGTGGTACTGGGGCAAGAGAGTAATCTAAGCCAGGGTTCCCTTTGTGGTGGGCAGGCAGGTTGATTAGAAAAGGCTCTGCTTACATTGCCAGTACAGAAGGCTTTGTGTTTAGCTCAGTCTCCTCTTTCTGCTCTCTACATAGGCAGCTGACCAGCACACCAAAGTAAAACTGGAACAACACCATGCACTCTAACCATCAAGAGATCAATACCATTTCATATCCTTCAGGGGAATGTAGTTTTATGTATTTTTCTAAAAAATACAGTGCAATACTAGTGCTAAATGTTGATTAATACTTCAATAATATAGAGACGGATGGATATATCAAAGTGTTTCAATGATGCTGAAATCTATCTCATCCTCAATGTCAATCCCTCAATGAAAAAAGGATTAATAATACAAATATTCTTGCTTAATAATTGCTTAATTCCAAAACAAAGTACAGGTTATATCTTTGATGGAACCATCAGTGGTGTGCCGGATCAGAAATTACGTAAGAACAAACACCGCATTGTGTCGAGGTTCATTTGTCAGGATCACAAACCCACAAATCTGAACAATCGCTACATCCCTGTTAACAACCTGTAATGTGATGCTTGGGTTAGAGGACTTAAGCCAGCACCCAGTAATGGCTTTGACAACACACACTTTCATTCATGCATCAAATCATTTAGAATGAATCACTAACAATCCCTTTTAACTAATTGCCCCAAGGTTTTGATTTTTGGACAAAACATTTCACCTGAGATCAAAAAATATTTACAGTGATTACTGGCAGAGTTTAAATAAGTATATCACCCTCAGTCTTCCAGGAACTCTGTGTCTGCCCTGCATTTCTAAACACAGAGCCTCTGACGCACTTGCACTTAAAAATTTTGAGGCTTGGTCTACACCTGTGAATCTAATCTTTACAGGATGTGTTAGAGCCAAATCTAATGTTGATCCTATATGTGCGGGCAGTTGAGTTGGCACAAAAAAAACACAAAAAAAACTTTTCAATGGGTGAGTAAAAGAAGAACCTATCTATTAAGGATAATTAACTTAATAAAAGCAGTGCCTCGTCATGGTCTTATCCAGCAATGTTTACAGAAGGTTATATGAGAAAGCCTTCCTGTGCCGTCACAGAAGACTCAGTGCCCAACAGAGGCTTAACAATGGCTGTCTAAGCCAATGCTAACATATGCCGGCAGCTAAATTAAGCTCCTAATTAACAATCTCATGCCGAGATAACATTATGGGATAAACAGAGTGCCAAGTAACCACCTGAACTAAATACCCATCCACACACAACGGCCTTCTATAACACATCACTAATCGAATCTATGGTACATGATTTTTTTACATAAACAAGCTGTCATTAACCGTTAATACATTCTATTAGAATTTTGAACAATATATAGCTTCGGTCTTCTGTCAGCAGCTACACCGAGACGTGTTCAGTTACATATGTACTTTGGTAGCTCTCACAGCTAAACATAAAATCCCTGAAATTATTTACATTAAGATAGAGAACCTAGAGGAACTCTCAGAAAACTTCCAGAACAATATACATGTCAGGTTTCAAAGCTGAAGAGAAGCTTGTGTACAGCTCAGTACATATTTTAAAATAAATTACATACAACAAGAGCTTATCTTCTCACCTGTAGCACCATGGCCCACCACAGCATTTTAGGAACAGAGGGGGATATATTCCCCCTTGACCTGAACGCTCCAAATACATTTCTA